GTCAGTAGCTATTGGACAGTGTTATGCGCACTGTGGTGATTTTACATGAGAGATATTTAACCTGCAAAAGGAAAAGAAGTTGGAAGGTGGGTGGGAGGGAAGGCTTCTTTGAGGAGCTAACCCTAGAGCTCAATTTGTAAGGATAGGTAGAACTAACCAGAGAGAAGAAGGCTGTCCCAGGCCAAGAGACTTGACAGGTACTAGGAAGAGAAGAGAAAGTACTTGAAACTACAAATAATTCCATCTGACTGGAGTGAAGAATGGTTAGGAGGGAACACAGAAAGACAATGTCAAACAGGCTGGATAGGGGCCAGGCAGAGAAGGGCCTTGCGGGCTGCGGTGAAGAATGTGTGCTTGCCTGCTTCCGTCTTCTCTCTCTCTCTCTCTCTCTCTCTCTCTCTCTCTTTAATTCTAGTGTAGCTTACAGTGTCACATTAGTTTCGGGTGTACAACACCATGATTTAACAGTTCCATACATTACTCAATGCCCATCAAGAGAATGCATGCTTTCTTGTAAGTCCAAGAGGAGCCCCTAAAGGATCTTTGGCATTTTTTAATGATCACTCTGACAGTGCTGAGGAGAATGGGTTAGAGGAGGATCAGGTGAGTCAGGAAGCTGAAAGGAAATTAATTTCCTTTCAGGAATCCAGACAGGAAGGGATGAACATACAGACCATAGCAGTGGGGATTATATAAGCAATATCTGCATATATCCTATAATCTGGTTCAGTTTTACCAAATCTGAGGTTTTTGAGAAGAAAGAATGAAAAGGGAAAGCAGTGCCACATTCAACTCTAACAGTAGGTGCTTAGTGTTCACAGGGCTAACTAGTTTGGAGGCCTTGGGCAAATCTCTCTGAGCCTCATTTTTCTTATCTAACAAATGGCAACCATACCTATCTCACAGAGTTGTTTATAAATATATAATGACATAATGGATGTAAAAGTATTAAGCACCGTGTATTATTTCCTGTTGCTGCCATTTCAAACTACCACAACTGCACTGGCATAATGCAACATAAATCTATTTAGTCACAGTTCTAGAAGTTAGAAGTCTGAAGTGGGTCTCACTGGGCCAAAAGAAGTCTGAAGGTGTTGCCAGGCCTGCATTCTTTGTGAAGGCTCTCAAGAAAAATCCAGTTCCTTGCCTTTTCCAATCTGCAGTTCTTGGTTCATGGCTCCTTCCTTCATCTTTAAAGCCAACATCTTTAAGTTTCTGTCCAATTCGGACATGGACTCTCCTGCCTCCCTCTTTCACTTACAAAAACCCTGTGAGTACTAGGTCCACATGGATACACAGGCTAATCTCCTCATCCCATGATCAGCAACCTTAATTTTCCACCCTCATCCCATCATGTAACTTAAAATATTTACAGATTTCAGGGATTAGGATGTGAACATATTTGGCAGATCATTATTCTGACTACCATATATACAAAAGATTCTAATTTAATATCTGCTTGGGAGTCAATTTTTTTTTCAATTTCACAACTAATATGTCCAAGAGTTGTTTTATGGTTTAAAAAATAAGAAATTGGAGCAGCCCAGGTGGCTCAGCGGTTTAGTACCTGCCTTCATCCCAGGGCGTGATTCTGGAGACCTGGGATCGAGTCCCACGTCAGGCTCCCTGCATGGAGCCTGCTTCTCCCTCTGCCTGTGCCTCTGCCTCTCTCTCTCTCTCTCTCTCTCTCTCTCTCTGTCTCTCATGAATAAATAAATAAAATTTAAAAAAAATAAGAAATTGAAGAGAACGTTTTCTAAGTAACTCACTAGTGTATCTGTAAGATTTAGTGACATATGCTAAGTACCTAAAAGCTCAAAGATAACTATAGATTTTCATATTTAACTTAATATAATCTTTCCTGTCTCTTCAAAACAAATTAAAATTTAAGCAGAGACCCTGCAAAATCTAAATAGAATCATAAGGATCATTCTGGTGCTTAACTTCTATGACAGTATCCAGGCTTATGAAAAAATAAGTGGAAGAAATAACTGATCGTAGAAATAAGCATTTTCTGAGGTCTGGAAATACAGGAAAGGTCAGGCTATCAAACAAAGGGCATTAAATATCTCAAAGGCAAACATTCCTGACCCCAAGGCAAGGAGGCAGGTAAAAGAAGAACATACCATACCAGGGCCTATAAGCAGAAGGCAAGTGAAGTCAAGACTGCTTCCCAGGACCCCCAGAGCAAGCCTAGTGCAGACCTCTGTAAGCCATATGGTTCCAAGACACCTGTCAAATATGTCATTGTGGATTTTACCTTCTAGTTCCACACTCACAGTTATCCTAAAAATATGATATAGACATAATACTAAGATAACAACTCCTAAAAATTTGTTATTAAGTAAAGATAGCATATACTATAGCACAAAAATAAATAGGATTTATCCAAATCTGAAAAAATCACAAATCATACATGTATTTTCCCAAAACTTATTTTCCCCCAAAACTTAATAATTTCAAACAAACTATAATTAGGGAATTTTTCAAAACAATTTCCATGGTGTCTCATTTCAATCCTCTATCTCCTTAATATATATAGCCCTGACATAACTGACATTCCCACTAATAACCTTAAGATTCTGAAAGACGCCAACTTCTTGTTGATCGTTAAAGAAAAACTAAGCTATGGCCATAATAATTTTACTACTAAATGTATTGAGAATATGTAAAAAATATATATTTTATTTAAAACCTGGTTATAGATGATTTATAAATACATGAAATCCCTGTCAGACTATTAAATATTCATACCACAACTTTTCCTAGCACATTGCACAGACATAACTTTAACAAAATGAATAGCAGGGTTGGCGTTTCTAAGCAATACAATTTAAACATTTCCAATCATGGAAACAAGGTTTTCCCAAAGAAGCAGATTTTTTTTCTAAACCATGGCATTTTGTATTAATCAAAAATAGTAACAATAAAAAATGCAATAGGAGCTATCCTATATTTCATATCAGAATATATTCTTTCTTGAAACTAAAAAAAAAAAAGACAGAAAAAAGCACTTACAAAGAGCAATCATTAGTCATTTTTTTAAAAAAATAAGCTTTGTGAACATATCTGGAAGATGATGATGATGGTAATAAAGACAACAAAAGTTTGTATGATTTAATCTAAGAAGCTTTTACTGGTAAGAAAAAAAAATTCCCAGAGAGAATATCATTAAAACTTATTTATGAATCACCATCTTAATTTTAAATGCAGTGAGCAATTTTATGATTCTACTTTCACTACATGCAACAATTACTTCTCCAGAAAAAGACCAAAGCCCTTCATTCACTCACTCCCCCACTGCTGACCAACTATTCAACAACAGCTTGCACCAAGGCAAATTGGGTACAGCACATACACTTCAGATCCACCCATACCATCACAAGCTTCTACATACTCCCTCCATCCAAGTCTCAAGGCTACTTATGGGTATTCTAATCCTTAAGTGAAAGACAATAGACTGAAAAATATATATGCATCAATCTGTTAACTGATAAAAAATATAAATGCCAGTACCTGGAAGGCTCCAAGTCAACATAAAACCTTTTTAAAGTAATTTTAAAAGAAAGCAAAAATATGCAAAAAGATTAAACATTAAATATGATATTTTTAAAAAATATTTTATTTATTTATTCATGATAGACACAACAGAGAGAGAGGCAGAGAAACAGGCAGAGGGAGAAGCAGGCTCCATGCCTGAAGCCTGATGAGGGACTCGATCCCAGAACTACTGGATCACACCCTGAGCCAAAAGCAGACGCTCAACCACTGAGCCACCCAGGCGTCCCTAAATATGAGATATTTATTAATGGTGAGGAAAACAGATTATATACCTCAGATACTACTATGAAAAATCTGATATATAATTCCTGATTGATCATATCAGGTAGAAAAAAATTTCAGGTTGCCAGACAGAAAATTCACCTTTCACAAATGCCAAAATCTTAATCATAATGTTTTCTATAATACTGGTCAAACCATACATTAACAGAGAAGAACAAATGTATATGCAACAAATTAGGGTATTAGATCAAATTTTGTTAGTTTTAAAAATTCAGGTAAAGCCTACACCATACAAAATTCAGATAATGGCAGTAAGGACAAACACTTGACAATGATGTATCAAAAGAAACAAGGTCTAACAATTTTTTTCCTGCAGTGAAACACCGGTTAATAAGTTAAGATAGACCTTTTAGTCTCCTCGTGATATTTTTAGTAGTCAATTAGAAGAATTAAAATGTGAATACATTTGGAGTTTCCCAAACAAAGGATCAGATACTAAGGAAGATAGGAAGTAATACAAAAAAGAAACTATCCATTATGTCTCAAGTCAAACAGCAAAACAACAGCAGGTTACCTCAATGTCATTTGTTAAAAAAGAATCCCTGAGTCAACCTTACTAAGTTACCTTAAATAAATAAGAAAAAAAAAAATAAAGCCCTATATTAGTGTTCTTCAGCCGATTTACTCATTTAATCCACAACTGCAGAGGGTCCGTGGGGCATTATGCCACTTACAATGGAAATTCTAAAAGAAAAGAAAAATATTCTTTGACCTCCAGGCATCTGGTAGTTAATGCCAGAAAAAGAACAAATTCAATACAGTACAGGTAATCCATCATGAGGAATTTAACACTCATAGAAGTTATAGATTGGGAAACCATTAAATGCTAGTGGTTTTTTGAAAAATATTGAGACTTTATGAGCAATAGGAAGTAAATATAGGCAAGGGGGAAAAAGAAGATAAGAATTCAAGGACAGCAATAAAAAACAGGGAAGATAACTTAAGTAGAGAAGCACAAGCTGGAAGCAGAGCCATCTATGGATAATAGAACGATGCTGCAGCAGAGGCCAGAGAAGGGGGCATGACAGATGGCTGCAAAAGGTCTACCTGGAGCCTCTGAACCACAAGTCTTAAGGGACAGCAATCAACATCCAATGGGAATGTTTACCAAAATTATTGGCATATTATTTCATGAAAATAAGAGATTTAATACTTACCCGATTTAAATGGTTGCTCCTTAAAATAACCTGTAGTAGGGTTTTCTCAAATTCTTCTAACTTCTTGGAACACTTTTTAAGAATATGATTAGATAAGTGACAATCACTGATCAATCCAGCTAAAGTATCAACAGCATCTGCCCAAAAGCTTGAAAAAGGAAATTTGGGTTTACGGTAAAAAGTGATCAGGCCATCCAGCAACTGAAAAACAGAATCAGATACTGTGGAAAAGTCATTTTCAAAGTGGCTTAAGTCTGTTTTCAGACTCCCTGATTCTGTCAAGTTCTTCAGTTCAAGTAGACGTTGCAAGAATTGCATGTGGGAAAACAGAGGATTTTCCACAGTGGCACCATGTCTTTTCACAATGGGCAGGGGCAGAAAGGGTGTGGGGGTGCAGCTCTCCACAAAATGCTGGGGCATCTCTGAAGGTTCACTCCTCTCCTCATTTGATAAATCACACCCAGAATCTTCCAGCTGACTTAATGTATTTTCAGAACTTCCAGGTTCCTGAGCCTGCAACTGGGAAGTTGAGTCTCCTGAAACAGAAAGGAATAAGTGTTATCTATCTGTCAATTTCTTCATATAAAAACTAGAGAAGGGCACCTGGGTGGCTCAGTTGGTTAAGTGTCCAACTCTTGAAATTGGCTCAGGTCACGATCTCAGGATTGTGAGATTAAGCCCCATGTCGGGCTCCATGCTGAATGTAGAGCCTACTTAGGAGTCTCTCCCTCTCCCCCCACCACCCTGCTTGTGCTTGTTCTTTCTCAACAACAACAATAAAACTAGACATATTTTCTAACTTAAAATACTTAAAATACTAAATGAAGCATGGAAAAACCTACTAAACATTTAAAAACTAGTAGCATAAAAATCAAAAAGAGGAAAAACTGTGAAAGAAATTGCTTAAGCTGACTATAGAATGAGCTCCAGTAGAAAGTAAAGGTGATTCCCCCATATTTTTTCAGGTCACTATCTCTCATCCAACTATGTGCCATTCTTGAAAGACACAGAGAAGAAACCACAAGACCTGAAGGAGGTAACTGGTAGAGATTCCAACAGGTAACTAACTACAGGGCAATAAGATGTATACAGAGACAGAGATGTGCTCAGGGCACTAGGAAAACAGGAGGACCACCGAACAGCGTGCCCTGGTTGGATTAGTGCACCTTAGAAGAGGTGATGGTGGAACTAGTTTATAAAGCAAATGTAGGCATTCCAAGTTAAAAGTTAGGGGAATGCAGGAAGATAATTCCATATACCAAAAGGTAAGAGCTAAAGCATAGACTTAAGGAAAATAAAAGCATTTGTGTGTATAAGGAGCCATAAGTAGTTTGATGTTCATTTACAGAAAATATGAAGCAAGATACTAAAAGAAAGAAATATGTAGAGGTCAGCTCATCAAAGATCTTAGAAGGCATATAATAGGCTTAGAATATAGGAAGAGTGAATGTAATTCAAACTTAAATAATGTAAGACCCCTTTGGAAAAATTACACATCCACATGTATACCTGATATATAAAAATAAGTACCTGTAAACAACTTATACATATGTGTGTGTACTTATAATTATTCAAGCAAACCTACATCTGTATCAAGAGAGATAAATAGATGGATAGGTAGAGTGAGATCTCATAGATCCTTGGAAGGATCAGAATCTTCTGATACTGACTGAGAGATACTGCAGTTAAAGCTAACCTAGTAATTTTAGGTCATTCTTTGACAGAGATGCCATCATAAACACAAATAAGGTTACTGTCTGTAAAATGATTATCAGTAAAATATACACACAAAATTGAGAAATTCTCATTGAATGTTCTAAAGTACATGCATATATTTATGAAACCAAGGCTGGGAAATATTGCTGCCAGCAATGAAAGACACTAAATAGTGTAATGCAAGAAAGAGAAATGGCTTTATTTTTCATTTCACAGATCACTCCCTCTATTGGCTGCATGAAAGGCAGATTTGAGGAGGACACAATGAGACATTGAAGGATGTCGTAATATCAGATGATGAAAGAAATGAACCATGCAGTTGCTGTGGAAAAGAAAGGAAGGGGCTGACCAAGGAAACAAATATAAAACATCAAAATATAATCTAGAAGCCAGCAAACTGATTAGGTATGGGCAATGAAGTTGAGGTAGGAATAAATTTCTCCTTTGTTTCTGACTCAGGTGACCAGGTAAATGACAGCACTACTAATTGAAATGGTAAAAACACAGACAAAAAAAACTGGCTTAGGAGAAATGATGGGAGTTCAGGTTTGGTCTTATAAACTGCGAAGCAACTGGAGAAACTCTAGGCAAAGAGACTGACCTAGAAATTGGTCCCATGAGCCTAAGGGTGGGGAAAAAGTCCAGACTGAAAACACATTTTTAGGAGTCATCAGTATGTAGGTGGTATATGAAATCATGAAAATGGTTATGATCACTTGGAAAGAGCATGAGAAATGACTAGAACAGATCAAAGAGGGACCTTGAGGAGTATCAATATTTGAGGGCTGACTAGAGAATAAAAATAATTAAGGAGACAGAGAAGGAACAATTAAAGAGGTACAAAAAGAATAAAAATGACTGTGTTATGAAAATCAAGGGCAAAGTTTCAAGGAGAATTACATGCAGTAGAGAAGTCCATAAAATACAAAGCTGAAAAAAAAAATATGTTGGAATTACTCATTAGAAAATCACCAGTGATTGGATCCACAAAAGCCTTGCTCAGGCAGGGTGGTGGACAGAGGCCAGAAGGCAATAGGAATGACTGGGCAGAAAGTCAGAGAAGACTGGCCGAGGCTTCTGAGGAGTTGGATCAGGAAAATATAAAATGGGAGAGTAATTGCAGGCAAATGTGGCATGTCAAATTAGGAGAAGCTTGAGCAATTATAGACTAAGAAGAAAAAAACAACACAGAAGCAAAATTTGGAGTTATAAGAAAAATTTAAAAAGCCAGGTGAGGCCTGGCCTTGGAAAAGGCAGGGGGAGACTGAGTCAAAGACCCGAGTGGATAGGTTGTACTTAACGATACAGGATGCAGAAGTAATTTTTTTTCCTTTGAGGCTAAAAGAAAGAGAATGAAAATGTATAGGAGATGTAAAAAAAGAATACAAAAAAAATACCCTTAGCATACAGGAAGTTAAAGGAGATTCACCAGAGTCATTTTTTAAAGTTAGAGATGAGGGGATACTGGTTGATCAGGGCATGGGAAGAATGATAAGAGGAACCCTCCTCATCTTACATTGGAAATCTGATTTGTTGCTCTTTTGTCCCTCAATACAAATAGAAGGTGATGATGAAGCAAAATGAGAAGATCAGGCTTTGATTTAGAGTTCATTCAATTAACAAATGTCTGCTATAACCACCAGAAATGTGCAACTATGTGCTTGCTAATTATCACGACAGTATCTGTACTCTGTGGTAAGGGGAAAACGCAGTAAGTTCATAAATGTGGTGGTAACCCAAACGGCGAACTATTGGTGAAGCATTTAACTATATGTGACTATTTCTATACTAAAACAGGCACACAGCCTGCTCATTTTAAGCCACCAGACAATTTCTTTTTCTTATGAGCAAGAATAAGTATTTGAAATGACTTCTCACCCTTCACAAAAGGGTGAGGGATTACAGTAATTATTTAGATAGATTATATTTTTCTTTCATGGAATTCAAAATGGTTCTTCACTAAGGAAGTGAACATAAGTTTAAATATTTCATGAACCTACTCAACTTTCCATCAAGGTAAGCTGAACTTCATGGATGATGATTTTACAGAAGACATAAAATAAATTCTACCAACAACTAGACTGGGAAGCAAAAAGCTGTTTTCTTGTTTCTGCTTTTTACTCCTCATTGGCGTTATCTCCTGGCAAGTCATAACCATTCCATCCCATCTCCTTCAAGTGCTGATAGGTACATATTTGCCAGGAATAGTTCTACAAGTGCATGTATTCTGGGCATAGGAATATACACTGACCATCACACTCCCTGGCTGCTTCATTTCTACACCTGCAGAAAAGACTGATGAGGGCATATGTTGAAGATGCCAATGTGGGAAACCACACATAGAGCAATGTCCTCTCGGTGCCCTAAAGTAATGCATAAACTCCACCAGCAAGGACCACAGTGAGCCTTCATGCAATATGGCTTACAGTATTAAAGTCACTCGGTCAAAATTAATAGAAGAATCTCATATTCACATTTCACTTTACAAAGCACTTTCACATCAAATAATTCAATTGTTCCCAACAACCCTTGAACATGTGTTATTATTATCCCTAATTTACCAATAAGGAAATGCAGGCTCAACTTGATTAAGAGGTCTAAGAAAAGCCACAGAGGGAGAAGTGAAACCAATTACTCGGTTCCAAGTCCAATCATCTTCTAACCACAGCAAAAGGCTTGTGTGTTCCCATGCCAGCTTCTGTACATACCCCTGGCTCTTTAAATGGGTCTTACAGAACTCATTCTACTCAGATTCTACTCATTTGCTTGGATGACTTTTCTCAAAATAAATCTTGAAGCTTGACTAACAAAGCATTGTACCCAAAGGAGAGAAGAGAAAATGAAGCCATGCTACTGCAACTTTCTGTAATTTCTGTTTTTCCAGAAGGGACTAAGGTGAAGCAGGAGTCAAATGATGTTTCTCTCTTAATTTGTTATTGGGCTGAAGGGACTGAGGACTGTAATTTCTCTCCAAGTTACTGGAGATAATCTAATTAACATATTTGTCATTAGATTTAAAGAGACAGTAAAGTACATATACACAGATCCTGATCAGAGTCCAGCACATATTAAATGCTCAGAAATATTATCTATTATTTTTAAATGATAATAGATACCAAGAATCTAAATTATGCTAAAGCATGACATCATATATAAAAGTGCATAAAATATCAATTAAAATTACAGATCCTGTCTAAAATACCCTATAGTCCCTCTTTTATACCCCGGACCTCAGGCTTACAATTCCATTTCACTGGACCTTTGTTTCTTCATCTTCTTCCAATTGTTAAATTCCATCCTAATCCCACTTACCATTTATGAGTAGATCTCAAGCATACTCAACAAAACAGAGCTGTGCCCACCAGCTACACATCCCACCCCTGAATCAAATGTATTTTCTGCTGCACCCCAAATTGTCACATCCACATCAATTCTTGATGCCTTTTGTCACCCATTTCTACAGTCCCTACATTAGTTATAAATTTAGACCCATAGAACCAGCTATCTAAAAAACATCCATACACCTTTAAAATTCCATCAACTTTTTGTTTATAAAACTGTACAAATCATCTCATGCACTGCACACATAAACATACAATTCTTGTTTGTACAGCATAATACAGCCAATTTCAGCCAAGAGCAAAACTATTCTTCTAATCACCAGGCCCGACTGAGGGATCACCCTGGGCAACTTTCTTCCACCATCCACATAGACTGAAATGCCATGTCCTGCTGATTCTACCTTCTGTACCTGTATTAGTCAGGACCCTCCAGAGAAATGGAAACAATAGGATATATACACAAGAGAGGGAGAAAAGAA